GTCGCGACAGAGAGAAAGAAAGGGGACCAGATGAAAATCCGGGGACGGAATTTACGATTCGTCCGTGCAAGTCCTTCGACCATCTCCAATGTCCCGGTTCGATTACGATTTCACCGTCACGAAGTCCTACGGGTGCCATTAGCCTGTTCTCCAGGTCGTCTTACGATGGACCTCGTGCGGGAAAATCGGTCAAGCATTTTAATTAGCTCCCCAGCGACCGATCGACAGAGGAACGAATGCAAAGCGGTCGAAAATGGAGCCGTGATGCGAATTCAATCCGCGGGTCGACTGGGTTTTATGTTTATGAATATTGCAGGGCAGAGGATCTCGCGGTGTTCCTCCCTGTGAAAGGAGAAAATTAGAGCAAAGTTCGGAATTATCCTTCGCTGGGATTGGACACGGAAAATCATTAAACTCGGGACTTTCGTGTGCGTCTCCGCATTTATATTGCCTAATTCGTGGCACGTGCACTTTCAGTCTTGTCCCTCCGCCCTTTCTTATCGCCCCATGGAATTTACAACTGGGATTGTCTGCGAATACCGTTGAAACGTACACCGGTGATATGGTACTTTATGAGACACTGTAACCATAACGTATGGGTCTCTTGGCCAGGAGAGGAAAGTTTGTATGATAATACGACGTACAGGGTAGCAAGTATCTTACCCGAGATTTTCGTCCCTGATGAAACGGTTCGCTTAACGTATTAGTTGCTGCATCTTCCCTTCTCGCTCGAAAATCGACCAAGACGCGAGTGTTGTGGATAGAAATGCACACCAATATCCTCTACACTTTTTAACAGTTAACACGTTAGTATATTTATATAAAAATATTTAAACGCTGAAAATAACTCGATAAAATATTTAAAAATTGATTAACACTTTCTAGAAAATTCTTCTCTCTCACCCTTATTAACCCTTCGCGGTCGGCAGATTTCTGCAGAGCAAGTTTAGCGTTTCGCAGTTACTTTTCTGTACAGGATTTAACCCTTTCGGCACGAGCGTGCTGTCCACCATGACACACGTAATACATGGTCAGTCCTCTTTTGTATGAAGATTTTCTTATGCGTTAAATAAGAACTGTGCTTAATAACAGTTTTCAATCATTATTATTTTGTAGCTTTAACATTAAAAGATATTTATGTAAAATTCTACATAGATGGATATATCTGGCGCTCGTACCGAAAGGGTTCAAGTCCATATATGGATATTAAAACGCACCGAATTTGTCGAATCTGATTTGTGTTTAATACTACTTATAATACGTAAATATTCAAAATTTGTAATTTCTGTCATTTTCTGTATTTTTCTATTTGCGAATGTCCTCGCTGCGGGGACATCGATGGTAAAGGGTTAATCGCTATATTTAATCGTCATTCATACTAGACTGCACTCGCACATATTGTTACGAGATTTTCATACCTATCTGGTATTCGGCTAAGTAAAAAGAGCGGATCGTAACTTCAGGGAAGAGTAATCCAGCATCTTCCAAAATGTTCGGACAAAATAACAATCGGCTGTTTACTGTAAAAAGGGGTGTCTTCCATCGAAGTTCAGAGAGTAGAGCTGTAAACCTTTCACTAGAGTTAAATCTATTCAACGACGTATTCATTGGAAATCTTTGGAAATTTAGTGATCGAACTTGTAGAACAGGAATTGTAAACGCGATCTGTAACAATATTATATTTATCACATATCATCGCAAATGAGTTTCATTTATTCAACCTCATTCGCATTCACGCATGTAAAATCAACACTCAAAAGTGTTTGATATTCGAGGAAATTTCGAAATTTATGAAAGTCGATCGAATTCGATCGGAATGGAAGATAGATCGAGTTTGTAGGAATTGGCTAGTTGTCGAAGCGAGTGCAGAGATTGATCGCTTAACTTCAAAACTGGAAAAATATTCGGGCGAGACCTCCCGGGAGTAGATAGATTTCTCACTTAGCATCCGAGTGGATCGAGTGGATCAAGGAAGTATTTCGTCAGAGGACTCTTTTCGGTTTTTGTTTCGCGAGCTCTTATTCGATTACTCTCGTCTGGCTCGATCCCTTTTGCGTATCGAAGATCTCGGAAAATTCGTTCTCGTTGCACGTCTAGATGTACGACGAGATTGCGAGCATTCGTCTCGTTTCCAAAGGAACGAAGGCCTCTCAGTTTTCTCGTGAATAGCCAAACCCGTACTTTGTAATGCATGCCGTAAGTGAAGGATCCTTTCCGAGGAAAGGCAATATTGCCTCTCAAAGTCATGTTATTAAACTATGAGCGCGAAACGACGAAAACGCGACTGTCTGCTTGCAGATATTATTGCAACGTGTATTACACGGTAACAATAGCATCGTATAATGAACGTCTAATGAACTATAGATTATTCAAAGTAACTCTCGATTATTTCAAAAATGGTAATTTTTGTGTAACGAACTGTAGGATTTTTGGCTAAATTAATGCTATGCAGGCAGAGATCTGCACGTCTAACAAACAATAACTCTCTTTTCGTAACAAAACAGGTTTTATTTAACTAAAATATTACACCAAGCTCTCACACGATCATCCATTCTCTACGTCCTTACACACATTCAGCCTTCTAACTCAACTCAAATCTGCCTACTTTTGACTTCTTTCTCAATTTTTAACTCTGACAGCCTCGCGCCCTTACATCCTTAGATTAAAAACTATTAAAGTTTTATTACTTCTTTAATTACAGATTTATTTCCAATAATTTTCTAATGGC